CTACTAACATACCTGTTCTATCCACAGTTGTCCTACAATAATATTGTGTACGCAGCTATTGACGTTGTTCCACGTGTATACTTCATTTAATCTAACAAAATCAATGAAAACAGTCAGTTAAAGCTTTCTACATTTTACAAACAAACAACACCAACAATAGCTACAACAGACAACAATAGCTACAACAATAGCTACAGCTACAACAACAACAATAGTTACGACAACAATAGCTACGACAACAACAACAACAACAACAACAATAGCTACAACAACAACAACAATAGCTACGACAACAACAACAACAACAGCTACAGCTACAAAAACGACAATAGTAAACAACAAAAACTGCAGCAACAACAAAAAATTAATGTTCGGATTCTATTTTTTCAGCTCGTGTTAAAAATCTCTCAATATCTAGCGGCGCTCAGTCTTGAAGAATCTTTTCGCTGTAGACGAAGATAAAATCAATACCACTGCGCGCCTTCTATTCTTCGTGTTCATTATTGGTCACGGCGGCCATCTTGGATGATCTTCGACAAAGGATTTCTTATTAGTATCTATTGTTCATTGATCCAACATGTCCGCCGATCTTTATTTTTTGAATCTCATGGAAATGGTTGAAAATGATAAATATAATAGACTAGAGCAAACGCAGGAAAACCATGAAATAAAATCAGTCATGATAACTAAGACGTACTTTGGGAACTTCAGGGTCACCATTCCCTTGGGTTGTACTTCGACTCCTTTGCCCCAAAACTTTAGTTTGGGTTGAACAGTAACGTGAAATACAAAGTCTTCGCCAGTACATTGGAGAGCGCTGATTGGTGGATGGTGACTGACCTATAATCAAAACCAATACGTCTGAGTACAACTAAAGCATTACACTGGACAAAATCACGCACTGTAAAGATTGTAAATACATTATGTAAGTGTTCAAAATGATGTAAATTTGATGTAAATGATTTACATTAAATTAAAATCGAATTTACATCATTTTTGATACTTACATAATATTTATAAATCAAATTTACGACCATTTAACGTGCTCGATTTTTTGTGTTGTATAATGTGAAAGAAGTGGTGCGTACACTTAGTGAAAACACTAAAAACTATGTAAAAAGTAATTACATGGTGCTCAATGGTATTGAATTATTCCTTTAACATTATGTTATACGCTATTTAACACTATTTGGCAAGTAGTCTTTAACGGTTTTAAAAATGCTTCACTTATGAGTTACTTGTGTTCATTTGTTTTTTGTATTTGTTCTTTTCTGCTGTTTTTGTTTTTTGTTTTTTTTTTAATTGTAAATGTAGAAACACATACCTGCTCAGCGACAAGTTTAAATCCTAAGTCCTCCCTGACAATTGAAATTACAGAAATTATTATGAATCACTCTATCAATTAAATAATATCCTTTTATAATAATCAAGCGAAATACACCATGTTGGCTCCAGCCAGTTTACTAGTTTCAGTCTAAAAAGTAATTGGGAGGACATTGAAATCCCGTCAAATCATCCGCATTAATTGCCCTAGTTCATTATGACGTCACATCAAAACATTCTATTGTTTTAACGCTAAGGATTATGGTCGCCAGAAGGGATCAGAGTGACTGCATATCAAATAAAATGTACATGAACAATCATTTATACATGATATATATTACATGATATATATCAAAACACGATTCATTGAAGTTCTACTTTAKWAGACAATATAAATGGGTYCAAATTTCCACTGTTTTCGAGCATCGTTTTCCCATGTAAACATACTGTGACGTCATAATGAAATAGGGCAATTCAATAAGGATATCCGAGATTTAAGAATAAAATACGATAATCTCATGAATATGGTGTAGAAATTCCTTTTTTTTTTCTTTTTCTCAGAGGACTTTTGTTGAAACAGCTATTATACATTTTATCTTCAAAAACCCTTTTATTTTACTGAATTCTTACCTTACTAATTCATAAGTTTCTCCTAGAAGGGGATTGAAAGGTTTTCCTACTCTTTCTAAATTTGATGAAGTCGCAGAAACGGCAAATGCTGCTATGTACTGAAACGAAACGAAAAGAAAAAAAAAATGAATATTTTCATTGCACCGGCCAGATTACTGTTTACGACTCATACGTCAGTACTGAAAAACGTGTTGAACAGAAAAAAATATTGAATACTATCATTGTWCTAKATTATAATTGCCAGATTGCTGGCGTCGTATACACACATCACTTAAGGCAAATTGTCGTTAATTTGCAAAAGCTGCCARCATTCTCTATGTATTGCCACTCTTATACTTAGATTTTGCTCCAACTGATCAATAGTAACACATCTGGGACCAATTAGAAAAAATATATAATAGAAAGAAAGAAAAAAAAAGCGGAAACTAAGACGATAATTAAAAAATACCACACAGCACTCTTCAAGGCTACAGGCGTCAATCAGAGTTCGTGTTACATTTTCAATAGCAAAATTCCAGGACTTTTCAAGTACATTTTCAGCACAAAAATGCGATTTTTCTAGGAGTATTTGTGAAGATATTTTTTGATGTTTGCAGATGTTTCAAGTGGCGATTGTTAAAAATAGCCACACTTCAATCCAAAAGCTAGCAAGCAACATGTCAATTTTATCAGATTCAAGGAGTTTTCCAGGACATTTAGTGATTTTCTCCACTTTTAAGGGCTTTCAAGCGCCCTTGAAAACGAGTTTTCAATTCCAGGACTTTTCAAGTAGTAGCACGAACCCTGGTGAATGTTAAAAAATGCTAGGCAAATAAGCGGTCGATACCTGCAGTCTCTGGATTGGATCATCACACTGTGCCGCTGTTTTCAGTAGACTGACATATTCCATATATTCTGTTATTCTCTGAAGAAATGTCAACGGTTCATTGAAAATAACTGAAAAACAAAAAGTTAAAAGTCAGATTTAAGTTAAAGTTAAAAGTCAG